GTTGTGTCCATAATTGCCCCAACTGTTCAGGGTTCGACCTCTGCGGTCGTATCAAGCTGCGCCCTGCGGAGCATTTTATTGTTTCTTATGTGTCAATTACTATTTTATTCAATTCATTGTTTAATGTTTAATACTAATGTTTGAAATATCTTGAATAAAGTGGACATAGTCATTGACGTTATGTCACAATTAAACTGTTATTTTTATATAAACATGTATGCATGTACAAAGATGAACAAGGTCTCTGTCCAAGGCCAAATATTAAAATTAAATCAACGTCAAGAGCACTATATGCATGATGGCTACGAGTATACGACCTCGTTAGTTAGAATGAAAATTCAGAATACATGTAGTAACCAATGGATTTCAATGTCATAATCTGTTTGACAATATTATGGATGGGCACATCTAACGATTGGTTTATTTTTTAACTCTTCAAAAGATATAATATCTCTAAAATATGTCCATAAATTTCTTCCAAACCATATTATAAAAATAAAAGAAAAATCTTCTACCTTAAGAATGAGAGTATAATTCAATACAAAAATATGTACAAAAACATCAGACAGAATGAAAATAGAAAAAAAATATGTATACACCTGGAGTCAGTATACCAGATTTTAGGTTTTTTATCCATTACTTCTTTGAAATTTTGCCTGCATTTTACTGGTCTATGTTTGATTTCTTAGTACGTTCAAAAAGGATTGCTATATTAATATTAATTACCTCATCTGTGCAAGGTGCATGGAACTGTGACACTGCTGAAAGTATCTCTTGAGTATTATTTACAAGATGCCTGTGATACCATGTCATAGCCTATACCACACCATTTGAGCTTTGAATATATTATAGTTTTTGGAACATTCCCAATTTCACTACAAAGTTCCTCAATATAAGGATTAAGTACATCCTGGAATGAACCCTCTGCTGTTGTCTTTCCTCCAGTAAGTGGTAGACGTTTTTTAACTATAATTTTAATGTTGGGTCTATCAACTGGGCCTGATAGTGTAAACACATCTTTCATACAAAGCTGTTGTTGAATTTCTCTCTTCATTTTTGGTGTAGCTGTTGCAGTTAATGCTAGTATTTTAGCTTGTGGTAGTATTGCACGCAGTTTCGAAATATGTCTGAAATCGGGACGAAAATCATGTCCCCATTGAACAACACAATGAGCCTCATCTACTACAATGTGTGAAACATTTTCCCAACTTTTCTGCTTAAAAACATTACAAATTTCTTTTTTCAGAATCTGTTCAGGGTGGCCAAAAACGTACATGAATTTACCATTCTTAAAATCTCTTCCTTCTGGACCTAAAATATAAAAATGAAACAATCTATTGGTACATAAACACCATTTATTTTTAGACATTGATTAATAAGATCAACATGTATTTACAAAATTTTATATTTTTATGAGTATAATTACATTTAATAAATATATGGTTTGTAAAGCAGGAGAGACATTTCAACATGTGCACTCTTGACTTAATAAATGATTAAAGTCATATATTTTAACCTAAAATATAATATTGAACTAATCAATTTTTTTTTTTCAATTTATGTATTATCTGGTTGATAATTCAAAGTAATTTTGTACCAAAGTAATTCACAAGTGCACAAAAAAAGTAATGGGAAGTACATAGAGCAAAAGACACATCAATGGTTCCTGGTCCCCCAGATTATATCAAGAATCTGTATTATCTGCCACAATGGCAGGGGTATCATTGGGCACCACCCAACTCATTGTTGCCAGGTTAAATGTGTCATCAAAAGTGTTTGAACTAATTATAAACAAGAAATGATTGTAACAGGATGCTGTTACGAAGTCTCCCAAACGAAGCTCCCATAATTCGTAATTCCCAGAATCGCCTGACATTGGACAAAGTCCAGTAAAGTTATATGCATTAGTGATGCCTGGGGAATAACCCTGTATATCATTCAAATCATCTTGGCATGACAAACCAGAATATATATGGTTTAGGGGTGGGGATCTCGACCATTTACAAGATACTAGAACATTAGGGGTGGGGGGAACCCCTGGGGACTGACCCTATACATCATTCAAATGTTCTGAGATATGACGAACAGGAATATATATGGTTTAGGGGTGGGGATCTCGACCATTTACAAGATATTAGAACATTGGGGTGGGGGGAACCCCTGGGGACTGACCCTATACGTCATTCAAATGTTCTGAGACATGATGAACAGGAATATATATGGTTTAGGGGTGGGGATCTCGACTATTTATAAGATATTAGAACTTTCTTAAATGGCAGGGGGTGGGGGTGACCCCTGGGGACTAACCCTGTATATCATTCAAACCATCTTCGCATGACAAACCAGAATATATATGGTTTAGGGGTGGGGATCTTGACCACTTACAAGATATTAGAACTTTCTTAAATGGCAGGGGGTGGGGGTGACCCCTGGGGACTAACCCTGTATTTCATTTGATGTGCTTTATCATGACAAACCAGAATATATATGGTTTAGGGGTGGGGATCTTGACCATTTACAAGATATTAGAACTTTCTCAAATGGCAGGGGGTCCGGATGACCCCTGGGGACTAACCCTGTATATCATTCAAACCATCTTGGTATGACAAACCAGAATATATATGGTTCAGGGGTGGGGATCTTGACCACTTACAAGATATTAGAACTTTCTTAAGTGGCAGGGGGTGGGGGTGACCCCTGGGGACTAACCCTGTATTTCATTTGATGTGCTTTATCATGAGAAACCAGAATATATATGGTTTAGGGGTGGGGATCTATACCATTTAAAAGATATTAGAATTTTCTCAAATGGCAGGAGACATTTAAAATTTTGCATATCAGAAAGATAAAATCTTTTTGGGATTTTAATGGGCATTTTTTTTTCGTTCCTGCAGAAGGTGTAAAAATAAACTAAGTTTGGATACAACTTTGAGATGCTCCCTCTCAGGTAACAACTGGTTTGTATTGTATTGATTGTCCTTGATTGGCATAGACAATAGACAGGGAATAGATATTTACACATCTATAGATGAGTTAAAGGTAGTAACTGAGTGGACAGTATCAAATGCAATTCAGGTGTTTGTTTATTTTTACACCTTCTGCAGGAAGGAAAAAAATGCCCATCAAAATCCAAAAACGATTACATCTTTCTGAAACACAAAATGCATTTAACTTTTATATATCTAGTGGATGCCAGGCCTTAAAACTTTTTAAACTGTACAGGTAAGTCTGTACACAGAGTAGTTTTTGGGGTGAAAATACGGCCATATTTGTCCATTTGTTATGATGAACCTTAAAAAGTGTCTCACTGAGGTCGAGAATGGAGATGAATATTAAAAATACCTTCAATACTATTGGTAAGCGCTGCATTAACGTTAACAGCCTTTGTACCCAACTTTCTTGTTTGCTCTTCAATTATGGCATTTAAAGGGCTGATAATAATGCATTTTGTGTTGTTCATTTTTGCCAGCATTTCGAAAATCAATGACTTTCCATATCCAGTGGGTAGCATGATCAATGCATCACTTTTCATTGCACCTTGAATACTTTGCAATTGCAAAGGTTTCAAGAACGTTAAATTCACTTTTCGTGTAGAGTTGATTTTAGATAATGCTATTTTATGTGTCAAGACATTCTTTAGTTTTTCTTTAAAATCTTTCACAGTATCGTCTGCTGCCATATTGTTTATTGTTGTTAGTTACAAATGCATGCCGGGAGAAAACACCGGCTTTCCTATTTTGATGACGTCAAAATTTTTAAAATTAGAACAACCTCGATTTCAAATAAAAAGATGGCGTTGAACCCTACCTGTCTTGATATATGAAATATGTAATATGCACATTTATCTAGACAGGAGAACCAGTCTAGGGAAATGACGCCTTCCGGTAAGACGTCTTTGTTCAGCAAAGCTTAAATAAAACCCAATATAAACGTTGAATAAAAGATATGAACACATGGTCTTATTTATAGGACTATAACGAGGCGGTACAGAAACTCTTTCCAAAAGTTCCAAGTGGTGAAGTTGAAATCATCACTTCCAAAGTTTTTACGAACGCAATCTCGAGTTGGTTGACAATTATGGAGTATCTGTTTTACAGTGGATGATGGATGTGTTCCAGATGTTGTTACCACAATCCCGTCCTCTTTTTTCTCGAATATGATCTACGATTAAGGCTTGTTAAACCCCGACGCACTTTCGCGCCTGTCTCAAGTGAGGAATCTATGGCCTTTTTCTTCAAGTTCTTTTTTTTTATTATTTTGGTTCATTTATATGTTTTGGAGTTAAATGTGACGTCCGTTTTCGCTGAACTAGTATACCCTATTGTTTAGGGGCAAGCTGAAGCCCGCCCCCGGGGCGAGATTTTCTCGCTCTGTTGAAGACTTATTGGTGGCCTTGGGCTGTTTTTGCTCTATGGTTGGAATGTTGTCTCTTTGACACATTCCCCGTTTCATTCTCAATTTTATTATCACCGGGTTTGTACTTACATTATCAACTCGACGGGTGACACACGTTGAGCAGGATCTGCTTACCCTTCTGGAGCACCTAATATCAACCACGGTTTTTGGTGGGGTTTGTGTTGCTCAGTCTAGTTTTCCATGTTGTTTTTATATACTGGTATGTGTGTTTTGGTCGTTTTTCGATTTTTGCCATTGCATTATCAGTTTATTTTCGACTTATGAGTTTGAATGTCTGTTTTTTTTGTATCTTTCGCCTCTCTTTTATACTAAACAAAACATTTTTTATTCATATTATGATTTTCTATGGTGCATTTAAATCCCTTGTATATGTTTAATTTACCAGTGTATCGAATATGACCTTTGATCTTACACAAAATCTTTAAATTCCTAATTTTTAAATTATTTCCCAAACTGTACTTCGTAACCTTATCTATCATGATGAACTGTTATGATAGCTTTGTGTACACTAAATATCAATTGTCTATGGTGGACAAATACAATACAACACATTACTTATTATGAATGCTTAATGCGATTCCACAATTGTTTTAAACAAAATATATTCTGCATATTTATTCAACTATCGAGATATCGTTTGTAAAGTACTTAACATTGAAATGGGATATTATAACAAACTATGTGATTTTGGTAAGTTCTTTTGAATTGTTATGCACTTCCATTTTATTGTATTGTCATAAAAATCATATCAAGATTATTTACATAATAAATATAAACAAAAAACAAATCACGGGGAAAACATATCGTTAGAAAGTATAAAACATAACTAAATCTTTTCATATATAATACTATAAATAAATTACTGTACTCCTGTACTCACATCTAATGTATGCTTAATAAAGGACCCTGAGATTTCTACTTCTTTGGAGGTTGATGGGCGAACTATATATATATATATATATATATATATATATATATAGTCTAAATTGAAAACAACGTTCAAACCTATGATTGCGTTGGATAAAAACCGCAATTTTTATACGTGTGCATGCAAAACAAATTTCTTGGTAGAGGGGTCTAAATACAGCACAAACAACAATTTCCAAAAGACCAAAAAAAGCTGAAAAAGTCTATTTTAACAAAACGCATTTGACTAACAGGTCGAACAACTGATGTTCTTAAACCCTGCTGACTGCCATTGGCGATTGCCAAATAAATTGATCACCAGATCTAACAAAATGGATCTTAATATTAATTAAATACCAAACAGAAAACAATAAACTTGTGGAAAAGATGGTATACCACAAACATGAGGTGCAAAAATTTGTACACCATATCCGGATTTCGACAATAAATGTCTCTTCAGTGATGTTAGGGATCGAAACGGTATTCGGAAGGCCATATGATTTACCTCAATTTAGGATAGACTCTTGAATTTTAAAGAGTCGAAATAGGATGAACGGATCATATAAACCCGAAGGAAAATATAATACAAGCCCAAACGAAAAAATATAAAAAGTCTAAATTGAAAACAACTTTCAAACCTATGATTGCGTTGGTTAAAAACCCCAATTTTTATACGTGTGCATGCAAAACAAATTTCTTGGTAGAGGGGTCTAAATACAGCACAAACAACAATTTCCAAAAGACCAAAAAAAAGCTGAAAAAGTCTATTTTAACAAAACGCATTTGACTAACAGGTCGAACAACTGATGTTCTTAAACCCTGCTGACTGCCATTGGCGATTGCCAAATAAATTGATCACCAGATCTAACAAAATTATATATATATATATAAATTCAAATCTGGTATAATTCAAGATGTTTCCAAATAAGTCACCTCTGAAAAAAATAGATAGTTTAGTTCAATGTAAAATGATAAGAGTTTCCATTCAATTACAGGACAAACATGGTCGTTTTCCTCCAGGAATTTTTTGGATGCCTACGAAAAACTCCATTTAATAGTAGTCGCTTAACCTTGAAACTAAAAGGTAGAGACAAATCGAAAAATCCTGCATTAGGATTACAAGACAAAATTGTTTTTTATCGAGTGATCTACTTTGTTATAGTATAAATTACTCTCTAAAATTATATAATTGGAAAAAACTAGTATCGGTTAAAACACGAGTTTGTACTTCGATTGTATGACTGAACGTTCAATTTATTTATCAGCATGCCTCAGTCAATGACGATTATAGACGGGTCCTCACAATTCTGATAATCTAAATCAATTACATTTGGCAATATCTTATTTGAACTCATTGAGTTTGTCTCTGTCACTGTACTTGAATCCAAGTTAGTCCCTCCTAGTGCAGCGGTTGCTTCATTCATTAGGTAACCGATTTGTTCCAAAATGCACTTAACATCGTCTTCATGCGCGATTTCGCGAACTTTAACCTTTTCTCCTTCGTGTTCAAATTTAAATACGGCCTCCTGCAATTGAATATAAATAAATCTATGTCCATCAGTGACAACAGCAAATAATGGACATTTTTTGCTAAAGGCATCACCAATGTCATCGACTCGTAACAAATTCGTCTGCAAAATTAGCAATTGCAGCAAAGCCTGCGCAACGGCGCTGTCGTTCAAACTTTTGATGCTTTTTGTTTCCACACACCCAATTAATTTATCATCTTTAGCTATGCAATAATCAAATCTGCAGTTCGGGAGAAAATTGCAATTTATGTTTTTGTCTACCTCAATGTTTAAGCCTAGCGACGAGCACAGTGGAATAAGTAACGCGTCTAGTACAAGCCTACTTCCGCATTCTGTTACCGTGATAGACCTTAAATGTGAAAGAATTTCTGTATCATTATTTTGCTTGCTTTTATATGTTTGCACAGCCTTAAATACTTGAAGTTTTCGAATTAATTCTAATTGAATATTTTCTGACACATTTTCAGCACCTACGGCAAAATCTGTCGACATTTCAATTTTTCGAACTGTCTCATCAAAATCAAAGTATTCCGCAATATTTGATACAGTCCATTTACTGCATGATTTATCAATGTCAGATTTTTTGGACTTTGGAATATTTTCATTTCGATCTCGTAAACGATTAATTTCAAAATTTGCCTCAATATGAGAAATATCGTCTGCTGACACCTGTAGTGTGACAGGCCCATTGTCTTCTTTGTCTTCTTCCTTCCATTTTTCGTTTTCTCCCTGCACCAATATCACTGTATCTGTTACTGGTGTTATTAGAGCTTCCGAAAAGTCTGTTGGCTTTTCGATTTTCCGGACTGTTTCCCTGTATGAATTATCAATATCAGATTTTATTGATGTTGAATTTGTAACACGATCTATTTTCCGATTAATTTCAAAATTTTCCACATGACTAGGTATACTGCCTTCAGACATTGCTGTTGTGCCAGGTGCGTTATTGTCTACTTCAGCTGCTTCCTTTTCTTTTTCGTATTTTTCCTGTACCTCTTTTAAACTTCCGGTTGTTTGTTCTGTTTGGCTTTTTATCGTTTTATCTGCGAATAATTCCTTTCCAAACTTGATTTTTTTACTGGGACTCAAATCTATATCATTTGGAATATCATACCGAGGTCGTGACTTCCAGTGATATCCGAACTTTTCCGAAGGAATTGTTTCTAAAATACTTGAACTCATTTCTTCGTCAGACGAATCACAAACTATTGGTTTAGTTGTTTCGAAGCTAAGCTGACGGCGGGCAGATTCAATACCAGAAATATTAATTAGTTCTGTATATTTAGATCTTTCTTTTGGCCATGTGTTTGCCCGTGACATGCCTATCTGACTTCCGTCATAAAAAGACATATTTTGTGGTTTGGTTTGAGGTTCTTCAACATTTAAATGTTTATAAGTTTCCATTGTATCTTTACTTCCACTTATCTCAATATATCCGCCTTTCCTCTTCAACAGCTTGTTTGCAAATTCATTTGCCAGACATTTTGTATTAATTTTAGAATTTATACATACATTATTTGATTGAACATTTTGCACTCTTTTGATACTCGATAGAAAATGTTTCCACTTCTTTTCGTTTTCAATAGTACGTTGCTTCTGTTGCTTATTCATTTTCATCAAATGTTTTCTACCTAAATAAAAAAAAACATGAAACCATTAAAAGATTCTCACCTAATTAAAAAGAATTATTACGGTGCTTATTGTTATTGATTTGTGGGTTAAATAACTAATTGTATAATTGATATAGAATTTGTTGCCTACCGTCTAGTGGATAATATTACAAGTTTATCGAGATCGAGAACATGTGATTGTTTTATACACGCTGAGTCGGATTTTTAACACGCTTGTAGATCCGATATCCAGAGAGTTTTCTCGTTCGGATTATTTTACATTTATAATTTCGGAGTCTTTCATAGCTTGTTATGCAGTATGTGTTTCGCTAATTATTAAAGGCAGTATGTTGGCCTATAGTTCTTAACACGTACTTTGTCTTTGGTGAAGGGTTGTCTCATGAGCAATCATTCCACATCATCTTACTTTTACAATATGTTGGCTCTACATTGTGCTTATTTTCTATTTCAAACTAAGTCCAAATAAAGATGATGTCTTTCGGATGATATCTTTTAACTTTTTTTGAATTTTGTTTCCAAATAAAAAGCAAAAAATAGCCTCATAACTAATTATGTAATTTATTTACAAATTTGATGTAGAGCTTGACATATGCTATAGACGACTGTATTTTGTTGAAGAGCGGAGTTTGCCCTCTAGATGTTGTTATTGTTATTTGTGTCATTGGGTTGCTGTCTCAATGACGTATACTCTCCTTTAATTCACAATACTTGACACTATTTTAATTTTAATGTATATATCACACGGTAAAATAATCTGGACAGCTAGTTCTTATGCTCTTTTTACTGACGCAGTCAGTAATAATATCGGTTTGTGACCTATTTTTAAAGAACGCTTAACTATGGCAACGGCATGCATGATGTCATAAATCTTCACTCTGATTGGACAAAATTGTGGAATTGAACAAAAACCAACAAAAAAAGAGATATATGCTACAATAAAAGGAAAACATTACGGACATAAATTCAAACTTAACAAGCATTCTGATAGTATTGCATGGCAATACATAATCCCCTACCGGGTAAAAATTCATTATACTGGAACAAAATGCTAACTTGTTCTATAACTTGTCATGGTGTAAACAAAAAGAAAATATCATGTCAATATCTTCAAGCATGACTAAAAACAGTGTGGAAAACTGATTATATGAGTGAATTTTTTCAAGTCCAAGGACCAGAACTCTGCACAAAATTATCAGACCGAAACAAAAATTTGAACTTGATCTGTAACTTGTCATGATAAAACTATATACCAATTGACAATCAATATCTTCAAGCATGATGAAAAAAAGTGTGGAAAACCTATAACACTCTAAAATTAGATATGATTAATAGTTCTCTAAAATTAAATATGATGTAATACAATGTATATCTATTTTCAAATTACAATCAAATAAAATTAATAGTTCCAAATATTTTTTCTTTCATTTGTCACAAACTAATATAGATTTTTAACTTATCCATAAAATGTCAACAACTTTTATCTACACAATGTAATGAAATGAAATATATACCTTAATAAAAATAGATTATTATCTAATTAAAAGATTTCACTTAATAAAAATATATATATATATATATATATATATATATACATGTAGCATTCAGAAAATTAGTTTATACAAAATAACATATATAGTTATGGAGTTTTTTTATGGACCATAACTCTGGACTAATTCATCAGAGCGGAACAAAATTCGAACTTAATCTTTAACTTGTCATGATAAAACTATATACCAAATATCAAATCAATATCTTCAAGAACGAAGAAAAAAAGTGTGGAAAACTGAGTTGCCGGACTGACGGATGGACAGACGGACAGACGGACAGAGTGCAAACCTAAAGTCTCCTTCGACTTCGTCGGTAGGGGACTAAAAATAAATTCAGGTAAAGAAGGTGTCATTATCACAACTGTCAATCTGTTTGCATTTTTAGGATTACCCTTTAATACATGCGTAGGTAAATATCACTGACAGGTTCATAAGTTCTATCAGGTCAATGATTAGGCTATTAATAGATCGAGTGCTACACATATATCATATCGACTTTAGTCTAAAGCTTTCAAGCGACATAATAATCTCAAAGAGTACAAAATATTATACATAAAATAAAGAATTCCAAAATACATATAGTTAATTACTTGTCAAAAGCTGTATTATTCAGATCATATACCCCTTTGGCGTCCGTCCATCCCCGATTTACACACCGAAATAGGTTGTATCTCTAATTGTTCAAGTTTGCTTGACTAATTTAAGTTAAAATTGACATTTCTTCATGGTTCTAAACTGTTCCTAGTTTGTTATTCATTACAGATTGTAACCTACTAATATCTTATGTTTATGTCTATTTCACAGCTATAGGTACTTTTTTTATCTCTGAAAAATACCTATACATATATATATACATTTAGTTAAGTACCATATGCAATACATGTATATATTTTAATTCTTTCAAGAAAGCGCGTACATACTCAACTTTCAGAGTCGTCACCTTTTTTTGCCGTCAAACTGTGTGCAATGTTTTTTAAATATGATAAAAAAAAATCTGATGAAGATTCATGGTATGTTTTAAACTCTATGCTAACATCTGAATGCGTCAGATATCTTTTTTAAAAGATAGTACTTGTTGATTTTCAGTTTACAGTGTATATATAACCGGAAGACAATATAAATTAGGAACTTTTACAATAATCCAAAAAGTGTTTTGTATGAACATTATCCCAGACATTAATGAGTGTCGTTTCAAATTTGCATTTTCTGTGAACGAGATGTTTGCAGTATGTTTACGCTTTCAGCGTGATACATGTATTATTTTTCGCACGTTTAACTGCCGTCGGATTGCGTTGTAAATAATTGAACTCTATAATCGATCGGGGTATTTGAAATAAAGAAACATTATATTTAAGAATAAAGAAACATTTAACACAAGAAATATTTAATTTAAAACGACACTGATTAATGTCTGTGATAATGTTCATATACAGCACTTTTTGAACTATTGTAAAAGTTCCTATAAACGTCACTTTTCTCCCGGTTACATTTATATGAATGTCAATGGCTGAATATTTTTAAATTTTCCTATTTTTCTACTTTCGGTTTCGGTTTCTGTTTCAAATCATTAATTAAAATGAAATTAAAACTTTCTCAATTGGTTTTAGAAAGAATGCATTGGACGTTCTATCAAACAACTTAGAACACACGAATGCATCACGAATAATAATATACAGTTTGTTATGCACTGATTTGTGTGTGTATATGTATATTATATAAGTATATAATATATAAATTAAGAAAAAACTTACCATAAAAACTGACCGAATAGGTTATCAGTAGGTTTTCCGAACTAACTTTAGAATTATGTGTAATTACGTTATTTATTTATTAACAAGCTAAATGACAGTGAACAACAACACATTTAAATGTCTATTCGAACCTTTTTATCTAATATTGATCACCTATCGTGTAGTTCGAAACAGGTCATACATAAAAGTATTTATATATAGTTTAACTGTGTTGTGTGTTGTGTAATATCGTATTACGTATTTCGTCATACATTTTAGATCTAATCTATTTTACAAGGACGTATTTACTATTTTTTTTATAACAAACTGTAATGTACGTCCTTGTATTTTATAACGTATTTGGGTAGTTTTCAAACAAATGTTCTTATCTGGGGGAAGACTTAATAAGTTTCTCAAATATTTAATTTCAACGTTTTCAATGTTCAATGCCAAAATTTCGTAAAAAACAGAAAATAACAAATAGATAACAAGTAAAAAGAACATACTTAAAAGAACAAACAGGCTATAAAAATGTATTGCCCGGAGGTCATATGTATTAGGAAAAGTATCCGATACATTGCGTTACCAAACGGATGTCAAGCATACAATTTATTCCAACAGGCCAGGAATACACTCAGTTGTGACTATAAAAAAAAAGCCGGTGTAAAATGAGAATGCGACTTTTTTTTAACAGATATATTTCTTTCGAAAACAAATATTTAGATCATGTCTTTGTTTTTTGTTTTGTTTTGTTGTTTTGTTTTTGTTTTTGTTTTGTTTGTTTGTTTGGGTTTATTTTTTTTGCAAGGAAAAAGGGGGGGGGGCGGCCGGGACTTTGTTAATTAACTTATTAGATTATTACTTATTTTTGTTTTGCAATAGCAAGAAGCATATTTGGATTTATATATTGATTGTTGGTTGTTTAGCATCTCAGAGTTTAGCATTCAGAAGAGAATCCATATACATGTATTAATTTTTAATAAATTTATTAGTGTCAAGCTATCCAGCAAATCTCATCCTGCAATTCTCTTTATAAAAAGCTATCCTGCAATTCGTCATCCTACAATTGCGTTTGGAAAACTATTTGAGCAACAAATTTATTTTTCTTTAAAATCATAGTTTTTGACTTTTTTGTTCGAAAACAAGATTAATATAGAAAATAAAAGATTTGTATATCCGATTAACAAAATTTTAACTTTAGTTTTGCAGATTTCTAACTCATATTTACGGTTTTGTAATAAGCATTTGCAATAAAAAAAAATCATTTTGACGATTCAAATAAAGTATTATCTGTTAAGTCCAGGATGTAATTCGTATTTACGCATGTTTAATCAACATTTGCAATTTTTTCAAAACTCATATTAACGACTAAAAATAAAGAATTTTGAAGTAAAATAATTTTTTCATGGCATACCGACTTAAAAACTTCTATTTGAAACTGGGCCACCTACCTTCCAACCTATTCCCTCGGCAGTTCTGTTTGGCTAGGGATTATAGACTCTGCTCTAATAAATAGCTATTGGATAGTACTACAGCGGGAGGGTAAAGAATTTCTGGGGTAAGCATTGTTAAAGGTCAAAAATTTCGCTCGAAATATAGAATTTTGATGTTAATGAAATTTTTCATGGTATACCGACAATACAATTTCTATTTGAAACTGGGTCACGCACTTTCCAACCTATTGCCTCGGCAGTTCTGTATGGCTAGGGATTATAGACTCTGCTCTAATGAATAGCTAATATATAGTACTACATCGGGATAGTAAAGAATTTCTAAGGGGTAAGCCTTCTTAATGGCCGAAAATTTCGTTCGAAACATGGAAAAAAAAAGCCAAATTGTAGAAAATACGCACTGGGGTCACCCACTTTCACACCCATTGCCTAGGCAGTTCTGTATGGCTAGGGATTATAGACTCTGCTCTTATAAATAGCTTTTGGATAGTACTAAATCGGGATAGTAAAGAATTTCTTGGGTAAGCATTCTTAAAGAATTTCTTGGGTAAGCATTCTTAAAAAATTTTGAAGTAAAATAATTTTTTCATGGCATACCGACTTAAAAACTTCTATTTGAAACTGGGCCACCTACCTTCCAACCTATTGCCTCGGCAGTTCTGTATGGCTAGCGATTATAGACTCTGCTCTAATTAATAGCTATTAGATAGTACTACAACGAGAGGGCAAAGTATTTCTTGGGTAAGCATTCCTAGAGGCCGAAACATGGAAATAAAGCCAAACTCGATAAAATACGCATGGAGTATCCACTTTCCGACCCATTGTCTCGGTAGTTTTTTATGACTAGGGATTATAGACGCTGCCCTAATGAATAGTTATTGGATAGTACTAAAATGGGAGGGTAGAGAATTTCTGGGGTAAGCATTTTAAAAGGCCGAAAACTTCGTCCGTAACACGGGGGAAAAAAGTCAAATTTGATAAAATATGCAGTGGGGTCACCCACCTTCCAACCCATTGCCTCGACAGTTCTGCGAGACGAGAGGCTGAGACATAAATCTACATATTTAAGAAATATATATATATATATAACAATTTAAACTACACGACTTATTAAAGAGGAAGAACCGATTTCCCCTCTATTTGTTTCACATTCGGGCCATTTTTCAAAAGTCTCTTAATCTTTACGTTTTTTCACAGCATCCCAGTCTAATGTATGTAAATTTAATAACGCTTTTAACAATATACTCTGGCCTATTTCTAAACAGATCACCAAATTAAAAACTCCAGAAGATAGCCCGGTTTCTTTTTCTGATTATCATTTCATGTGCATGTTGCAAAAACTCTTGTTTTTAATATTTTACCACGTATCAGTCAATTGACAACAAAAATATTTTAAACTAGAAATTTTAAGATAAAGCAATCACAAAATTAAGTGTCATTAAGTGTATTTAAATTTTCAGAAAAATCCTTTTAAAATCAAGAACAGATAATTATATTGAATTTGACAGCACAATTTGTGTTTTTTTTTTTTTTATTTTCAACCAGACTCAAGCTAGCGAACAATAAGATGCATCAAGCTAGCGAACAATAAGCCAGCAAACAATAAGAAAACGCGCCAACATAATCATGCCTAAAAACCGAAGACTTGCAATAACATGAAACGTCCTTTTAAATCTGATGACAATAATTTCCAGTAGGAAGACGAAATGCAATTCCATTTTAACACAGACAAAGTTAATTAGTTATTCGTGTATTTAATACATTTTTTGTTTAAGCCGGGCATCTTATATTCCTTTTAGCTAATCCTTTCTCTTTTTAGTGTTCTTTGATAAAAGATGGGTTTGTTGTCTTTATAATAATAAAACAATTAATAACAATAGTTCATACTAAACTAGTGTAACGATACAATTAAATCTTCTGCCTTATATATGCGTTTGAAAAGAAAAGAAAAAAAAACGACTGATTACGGAACGTCAAGTATTTTTTGTTACTTTTCTGTAGAAATAAAAGCTGATAACCATTATACGCAATTTTCTTCTTTTGTCAAAGAATTAGTTCATTTTTCTCTTCATTCAAAAGTATGTCGTTACACTGGTAATTCATTTATTACATTTCGATAGGAAGAGTGATGAGTGTAAGAGTGACACACAAATAGAACAAGAAACGAATTGACAACAGATTTTAAATAATATACACGACAATTTTTTTTTAATCCAAGACAATGTGAAATCTGGACCCAGCCCCCTCCAAACTATAATCTGTAAAAACTTCCCTACGGCAAAGCTTTTGTCCACACTAGGTACATTTAATAGGCAATTGCCTAAGCTTGCCTGGACCCAAAGACCCAGTTGGTTTGAAATACGGATTTTTTTTAATTGAGGTCCAAAGTTGGGATATGGTGACCCAACCCCCTTCCTTCTTTAATTCATAAAAAAGTCCCTACGGCAAAGTTTTTGTCTACACTAGGTACATTTGATAGGCAATTGCCTAAACTTAAAATTGAAAATGGAAATGGGGAATGTGTCAAAGAGACAACAACCCGACCATAGAGCAGATAACAGCCGGAGGCCACCAATGGTTCTTCAATGCAGCGAGAAACTCCCGCCCCCGGAGGCGTCCTTCAGCTGGCCCCTAAACAAATATGTATACTATTTCAGTGATAATGGATGTCATACTAAACTCCAAATTATACACAGGAAACTAAAATTAAAAATGATACAAGACTAACAAAGGCCAGAGGCCCCTGACTTGGGACAGGCGCAAAAATGCGGCGGGGTTAAACATGTTTTTTGATATCTCAACCCACCCCCTATACCTCTAGCCAATGTAGAAAAAACAAACGCACAACAGTACGCACAGTAATACTCAGTATAAGAGAAGTCCGAGTTCGATGTCAGAATAGGAAACAAAAGAAAATAAACAAAATGACAATAATACATAAATAACAACAGACTACTAGCAGTTACTGACATGCCAGCTGCAGACCTCAATTAAACTGATTGAAAGATTATGTCTTCATCATATGAATATCAGGCACAATCCCTCCTGTTAGGGGTTTAGTATTATACCGTCATAAAAATATATGAGAAGAACATAACCCGTGTCATGCCAACAACTGGTTTTAGAATAAATGTGTTTAATTCCGATGGAAAGACCCGGGTGGGTAAAGTTACGGAATTTTTTTAATTGGGGTCCAAAGTTGGGATATGGTGACCCAACCCCCTTCCTTCTTTAATTCATAAAAAAGTCCCCACGGCAAAGCTTTTGTCCACACTAGATACATTTGATAGGCAATTGCTTAAGCTTGCCTGGACCCAAAGACCCAGGTGAGTAAAGTTACGGAATTTTTTTAACTGAGGTCCAAATCTGGGATATGATGACCCAACCCCCTTCCTTCTTTAATTCACAAAAAAGTCCCTACGGCAAAGCTTTTGTCCACACTAAATACATTTGATAGGCAATTGCCTATCATTTGTTACCAGAGTGGACAAAAGCTTTGCTGTGATTTTTTTTTTCACGAATTAAACTTAGGAGTTATGGTCTACAAACTTTGGACCTAAGTTGTAAAGGTACCGTAACTTTACCCATCTTGGTCTTTGGGTGTGGGCAACCTTAGTCCATGATCAATCTGTTGTACTTAATGTGGGCGAAAAACTTTGCCCGATTGAAATTTGTAGGAGTAGGGTCTCCATACCTAAATTTTGGATCTCATTTATAGGAGTTACGTAACTTTTCCCAC